CCGCGCGGACTTCTGCAGGCCAGCGGAACGCTCGCTCGCTCGCACGCCGCGCGGGGCTCCCAGCGTTGCGCGGAGGCTGGTGGGAGGCGCGAGCTCCGTGCAAAGTGGAAAATATCCTTAAAATAAGTGGCAGTTGCAAGAGGGGTGTGAGTGGCTCTGTGGTGGGGAGGCACTGCTTGTCTGTCCTCCGCAGCCGGGCTGCCTGATCCCGGGCTGCGTGCGTCCGGTAACGCGTCAGAGGGGAAAACCTCTCTCTCTGGCATCTGTGTGGATACTTCGCTCTTAAATATCGCGCTCCCTATCCCACCACTTTGCTTTTAGGGCTGCTGGGTAGTCCTTTCGGGAGTGTTCTGGAACAGCTGCTGCAGGGAAGAGCTGGCTGTGCCGCGAGGGAGGTGGCGTGGGAGCGATGGCAGGGCGATTCCTGGGGTTTGTGGTACAAGCAGAGACTCCCGCTCCCTTCCCTGTACTTTGGAAAGTTGTTTGTCGTGGAGAGAATCTCAAAATGTCACGGCGCGAAGGGGTTTGGTGCTGAGCTTGTGGCCTGAGGTGCTGGGCTTCTCCTGCCACCCCTCGTCTGTCCGGAGAGGAGCTGTGGCTGCCCCAAGCCATTGATGGAGGGGGATGAATCTCCATGGCTTTGCTGAGCTTTGGTGCTAGACCGGCAAGATCTGCCTGATTTTTGTTTTCTGTGAATGATCATCAGTTAGTTTGAAAGCAAAAATACTGAATTTTGGACAGCAGACTGCAGCTCCCCATGACTTCCCATAAAGCTCCTCGTCCTCTTCTTCCCCCACCCCTGTTTACCGCAGGGCAAAAATTAAAAAGAAATCCTTCTGGTTCCGCTTCCCAGCTGTGCTGGCTGCCTCCAGGTAGCGCAGATGAAGGCAGAGGTCCTCAAACGTCTCCTGGCAGTGGCCAGAGCTGGCAGCTGCCCTGCTGCTGGAGATGCCGTAGGGACGCGGCGCTGTGTGCTGCGTGGCGTGCTCCAGCAGAGGAAGGATGGCTGGGCTTCTGTAGCGGCTGGGGGTGGCTGGGGTGGGCGGGCACGGCTTT